GTCGGGAAACCACCCGTCCGACGAGGCTACCGACGGCGTGACCGGTGGATCACCGGCGGTAGCGACATGTGCTTCGGCAGGAGGTTGCGTTGTGTATCGTTTGTAACAATACACTGCCATGTGCCCCTGAGCACGGAAAATCTGACATCTAGGAGCGCCACGCCCGTTCCGGTTGCCTCTGCCCTGATTATTACGCTCGTTACCGCTGCGTCCGCCTCGCCACTACTTGCCATTGCCGGACTGCCCACCATTCGGACCTCGGCCTCGCCCAACATGCATGGCTGTCGGTCCGCCACTGCTCTCGCCAACAATGGCATATTCATCAGAGATGATGAACTCCTGGGCTTGGAGAAAATCTGCTAGTTGCGGCAGCGAGACGGTGGCGTTGGTTGCAGTCAAGGATGCTGCCAGGACACGAAGATCTTGTCGCAAACCCCATAGCACGTACAAAATCTGCTCGGAGGAGGAGAGTGGTCGGCCGTCTTGTGCTAATGCCTCCACAAGCACTTCTGCACGCCCCAGATATTCGGCCGTGGACAGATTACCTTGCGTCAGCGACTAGAATTGTCCAAGAAGGCTAAGGGACCGTGCTTGCGTGGATGAGCCTAGCGCCTTGTTGATTGACGTCCACACCTCCGCGGCAGTCTCCCGTCCGACGGCTAGATGTAGCACCGCGTCAGACATGGAGGAGATCAACATCGACAGTATCGATTGATCTTGGAGGATCCAGGCCTTGTGCACCGGATTGGGAGTCACGTTGGTCGCCTGCGTTGCACCGGAGCCAGAGTCACCAGTCGTGGTTGCCGCCATCGTAACCGGTGGACACGGCGTGGAGCTGTCAACGTACCCCAACAGGTCTTGCCCTCTCAGAAACGGGATTAATTGAGTCCTCCAAAAGAGGATGTTTCGGCTGTTGAGTTTCATAGAAACGTGGTGTTGAGCGCCGGCTAGATGATTGGAGACCGCCGGTGAGGGAGTGCCACCAGCGGAGACAGTGCGTTCGGAGGATTGCGACATATGTGCGATGAGTTGTTGTTTCCGATTGGTACTCGGTGGGTAAGGTGGAGAGAGAAAACGAAGTGATCGTAACCTATCTGATACCAAATTAGAATTCGAAGTTCATTGATCAGTTACAGCTGAGAGGAATTACAGATTATTAAACATAAGTTACGAGAGATCTCCTAACAGACAGAGAAGCTCAAGTCAACTTATTCTAAACCACACAAAGCAACTATATAATATAAATAAATAATAACACTGACTAACAAGGTCATATATCTTAATTCGCCCACAGGGATTAAGATAAGGAACATGATCTCTTAAGTTTTTTTTTGTCATAATGGTTGTAATGAATCTAATTGAATTAAAACTTCAGCCCATAGGAAAGTTTTATGTCACTTGATTCTTCAACCCATTTGATAATTGTATGGTTGTAATGAATCTAATTGAATTAAAACTTTAGCCCACATGCAAGTTTTATGTCACTTGATTCTTCAACTCATTTGCTAATTGTTTCATCATAAAATTTCAGTTTGATCTTATTGAGTAAAACTTTAGCCCACAGGCAAGTTTTATGTCACTAGATTCTTCTGACTATTTAGTAATTGAGATAAAATACTATCATAAGTGTTTAATTGAATTTAATATAATTAAAACTTTAGCTCACAGGCAAGTTTTATGTCAATAAATTCATCAACCCATTAGATAATAACTTTATCCCAATTTCTTAGAATTTATAAATTTAGTTCAATTATAATTCTAAGTTTCATGGTTTGCATTGGCAAAACATGTATTTAGTCTCTTTCCAAAATTTAGATACACCTTTTATTAATTATTTTTCACGAAGCTTACTTGGTTATTTGGACTAACTATAGTAAGTTGCGTGGTATGATATACCTCTTTTGGATTCCAATAATAAAATATATCTTTTGAGCTGAATTCCAACTTGGTTTTGGAAGGCGTATTTTATTATTTTAGTATGTCCAAATATGGTGGAGAATCATGTCCTCATTAATTATTCATTTAGTTGGACTATAATTGGAACCAAATATTGATTATTTAGTATGCCCAACTAATGGTGGAGAATTATATCTTCATTATTTAGTTGGTCAAATCAATTATGAGTGTTATATCATTAATTTGGCTAAAGAATATCTTAATTAGTGGGAGTGATCATTTAGGAAAGATCATTAAGATACTCCACTGAAGTTGATGGATTTAGTTGTTTTCATACATTCCAAATTGGATTGTGCGTCTAGCAATAAGTCCACAAGTTTCCACAAGTATTAATTTAGTCTTTTGTTCTTATAATTCATAAGTTCATTTCATTGAACGTTTGATTGTACAACATATTTATGAAAATGTTGTAACAATATTTATGAATTTATTAGAACAAAAACATTTAACTTGTAGTGCACTGCCAATTAATAAATTCTTTAGCAATTAACAGAGTCTTTAGTTTCTTCAAAATTGATCCTGGGCCATTTTTGGTTTGTAAGGCTCAAAACAATTTTGTAAGACATAATAAGACTCGTAATGTTCAATTAATTTCGAGGTGGACCTTGAGATTATTTGGGAAGTTGGTGTATGTTTAAGATTCCAAATTATTGACTTAGACGTTATGGTTTATGTTATTGGAATGTTTCTTTGACTTGACTATCTTAATTAGTGGGAGTGACAGACGTGTCAACTTCAAGCTCTTAGCCGTTAGAGGTAGTATTTATGTTAACTTATAAAGAAGTCATAGAATATAGTTAGCATTATGCTAACATTAAGAGATCTCTACTTAAGGCATGCTTCTAAGATTTTAGAGATTATACAATGAATTTGGATAATTTCTTCTTTCAGTTGTGCACATAATATATTTTGAGAAACATCCCTTAAGGGACTAAGAATAAACGTAGGGTTTATTCATAAAGAACCTAAGTTAGGGAATTTAAAATGCATGTGATCATAGAAGATATTACTCACTCGATTAGTAGATGACGTATTACTATGGTTCATGTATTTTGTTCTTTAATGAAGGTTGTGCCAGTACTTGCACCAAGTGGGAGAATGTAAGTATTTTCCCTAATATAATATATTATAATATATTGTATTAATTAAGTGGTTGTGGTGCAAGTGGAAGATTAAGTCAGTTAGTGACTTAATCTGTTAGGCAACTCAGGATATTCAATTAAGCTTTAACTGAATATCTGCCTACGTTGATGGGATGTAGGCTTCTAAGCAAAATAGTCCTCCCACAGCTCCCGTGTTCGGCATACACGCACCATCGAGTATTCGGGAGAGAAGTGGTAGACAAAATACTAACCTTTATTCTGCAGGTTTACCATCTTGTGGCAATACCAATGACTATGGCTGGGGATATTCGGGCGATCCTAAAGCTTCCGCTACTACGAGACAGGTTACTCGTTACTACAGTTCATGTTAGACTAAATTTATTATCTAACACACCCAACTAGGCATAGACCCGTTCCCGGGACCTATATACCTTGATTTTAGCTAAGTTTAATTTATTAAACTTTCCTGGTATAAATAGCTTATGTCTTAAATAATTAGACAAATCATGTTATATTCTTACAACACTCTTGTAGCGTTATCCACTCAATATTATTACTACAATTATCTCTTGATCTTTGTCTATTTTACCACTGTAAATTATACAAATTTATTGATTTGTATCGGGGTCAATTTGTTTCATCATGATGAATGAAATCATATAAGGAAGTTAATTCATAAAATTCATAAGGAAAATAAATGAGGCATGTTGTAATCTATTGGCTCAGGCATAATTAATCAAAGGAATTGCACAGTGAAAGAAAATAAGAGACAAAGCAAGATTATAATTCTTTATCCAACTTCTTCATCCAGGGGTACATCTCCACATGTATAGTGAAAGATTACAAATCTACATAAATAATAAATAAAGGAGCTAGGAATGAGTTAACACCATCTGAGGTCCTCCGAGTATAGTGATTTTGCCACGTTTAGTCCTAAACTTTCAAATTGACCATATGTGGTCCTTCGACTTTCAAATTTAACCATTCCTGGTCCAAGTTAACCCCCCATGGTCCTTCAACTATTAAATTTTAACCAACCACGGTCCTTTGAAGAGGATCGTGGTTGGTTAAATTTCGAAAGTTGAAGGACCATGGGTGGTTAACTTGGACCACGAATGGTTAAATTTAAAAGTCGAATGACCACAGATGGTCAATTTGAAAGTTTAGGACTAAACGTGGAAAGACCACTATACTCGGAGGACTTCATGTGGCATTAACTCAGCTAGGAGTAATAGCAAATTAAATGGTGGACCATGAATAAATTTATATTTCTAATATATTAAATGTACATTATTTGTGTACTAAATGTTTATTATTTGATAGTATATACCATATTTGCATTTTCCTCCACTACCTCGCCCCTTCTTTTTTTTTTTTTTTTTTTACCTCCACCATCCTCACTAGCCTCTTGTCGCACTACTTTGTCCAGCCCCAGTAGCGGGAGGTGCCACCGACACAACGGAGAGCGCTCGATGCCCACTAGCAACACTATAGCTCGAGGAGTTCAAGAGACCTATTTTGTCGGCGGATAGGGACCATTGGTCTAAACACTTCCCCCACACCCTGGCCCCTTAGCGGTAAGTCAGTAAACCCGATAACCCAACCTAACCATCTATGCTCAACATTCCTTCACCCCCCCCCCCCCCCCTCTCACATCGAAAGTCATAACCCCTTACACTATGTCTGTGTGGGTAAACATTAAAATGCTATGAAATTTAACTTAGAAACATTTCTATCTTACCTGTGTTGCATTCACACAAATCTATAGTTCACCAAACTTGGCTAGTAAAATTTACTTCATCAACGCTCATGCACAAATGATACAATAAAAAAATACTATTTTATACTTAATTAAACACAATTATAAAGTCATTAATGAACTCTAAATCAACACATCCAAAAGCAAAATTTTCTTCCCCCAACATGACATGAACAATTCATTTACAGACCAATCATGGCTGGAGAAACAAGGGTATCCACATAAGTACCAACCATATAACCAAGAGCATAGGGGATATTAAAATTCTTACCCCTTCTAGCATTAGGTCTATGGAGCTTCAACTGATGCCCAACCATCATTAGAATATCACCGTTTTCCGAAACATGTACAATTGCGAGTTTAGCATTACACAGAGCCATGTATGCAGTGTTCTCTGAACCCCGGGGAAGTGGATGATGAATTGGTAAGTTTGAAATGCAGACTAGTTTAGTCCACGATTCTTGATCTCCAAACTCATTCATCACCCAAACTTCCATTTGATGTTTGTGATGAAAACCTGCAAAAAGCAATCCTCTTGACTCACCTATACAAATGGCATCTCCGTGTTCATGGCTGGGTAACGCTATAGCTTTGGCTGTTTCGGTGGTTAAATTAAAAGAAATTATATTCCAATTCCATTCACTGTCATCTAAATTGTTGTTGCACCAGTTGAGACTACCACTCACAAACACAGCAATTCTGGGATAAACAAACCCACTACTAAACCCTCTTATCACTTCTTTTCCATGACCCACGCTTAAAACTATACACCAAAATCACATTTTCATCACCATTATTCTCCGCATAATAAGCATAAACAACCTTGTAGTCCTGATTATGCATGTCGTATCCAAATCCAAATATACTAATAATGTAGCCCGACCGCCAGACATATGGGATTGTCTTGATGTTTCCATTTAATGAAGGGTTCCAAATCAATATTTGATACGGTTTAGCACGAAAGCAAAAGAGTCCATTGCAAGAACCCAAGAATTCGAAACCACCTTCAGGAATTAAGACCGAGCGGTCAAATGTAATAAACTTGCGAAATGATGATTGCTTGTTTTCTGTAATAGAAAACAAGGACATATAGCTAATCCGATTTACACTGCTATACGTCAAGCACGCAAAACTTTTGAAACACACCTAAATTGCAGCAGAGATTTCACAGGCAGCCTTTTGAGGATTTCTGTGATTATATCTTGATTCAGATTTTGTTGTGGCATATGGCGCTTAGGAGTAGGGAATGACATCCTGATTCTGTGTCTTATATAAAAATTCCTTTTGTTACCTGAAAATAAAAAAAATATAATTATATATTTTAAATTTAAATCGAACTCCTTTTGTTATCTGAAAAAAAATATATAGTTATATATTTTAACGGAATTAAACTCCTTTTGTTATCTGAAAATAAAAAAATAAAATTAAATATATATTTTAACCAAAGTCTGATCTATTTCTCACTATCCACAAGAAATTTAAGTGTCACTACGTACAAAATGAATAAAAGCCATACAAATTACAAAAAGATTCCAATAAATATTGCTAGTGTTCCATCATTGATTAATTTTAGTATGTATATTATTAGAGAATTAATTTAACTATATATATATATATATATATATATATATATATATATATATATATATATATATATATATATATTCACTTCACTTATTTTTATAGCGTTACCTTCACCCACCTACCTAACCATCAAGCACCACCTACCTACCCCTACGATCACTATTTCCTATATTCCTATTTATTTAACCTATCCCCTATTTACGCACCATAACCTCTTTATTTATTCCTACTATCACCTACCTATTTAATCCATCCCCAACTATTCAATGCTCCACAAATGTCTACTTACCCATTACAACATATGCATCTATTGCATTCATATTTCTTTTCCATGTTTTACTATTATTTCTAACTTAATCCCATCTACCTAACCACGAGGCCATAAATAACAACTTACATAGTTACAATATTACTTGATACTGAAAATTTGTAAAGCGCAGCACCGAAACTGAAGTTGTAACACAAACAATTTGTAACGCAGTTTGGGCAAACAACCCTAATCTGCGAGGCACTTCTCAATTTGAGAACTTGCCTAAATCCACTAAAAGCTCAATATTTAAAGTACACTGTTTGGAACCTGAGATTACACAATAGAATGATCTTTCCTACCAAACTATTGAAACCTAAACACATGTACTACTCTCTAGGGGAATTTAGTATCCTATTCTCAAAGACTCTCGTACCTCACAAGATTAATGTTGAATGCTTGAGATCTACAATAAAGGACATCCCCCTATTTATAGTAGCTATTCCTAACAGATTCGTGAATAACAAACTATTCCTAATCAAAATAGAACTAGAAAATCTTCAACAACAAATCCCCTTAGAACTAGTATTCTTCAATAACTATTCCTCTTAGTACTGATATTCATTTATAGAACTGGAATTCTTTTTGCAAATAACTTTGACAAAATACTTTGAGTCAACATTCTCCCCCTTTGTCAAATTTTTGGCAAACACCTTGGTCTCTGTCTTTCTCCCCCTTAGTTGATGCCACAGTGGTGTTTGATTGATGGTAGATTAATGACAGGTTAGATCACCATCCCATGTGTAGCTTTTATCAGATGATCTTTTCCCCATCATAACACATTCATGTTTTTGGTTGTAGACTTTACAATTCTCTTTGGAAAATTCTACTTTGAGTTCATCATCACACAGTTGACTTATACTGATAAGGTTTGCTTTGAGTCCTTGTACCAAAAAGACTCTTGGTAATCTGGGCAGTCCATGGACATTCAAGGTACCACTTGCGATAATCTGTCCTTTTCCTCCATCTCCAAAAGTGACATGCCCTTCATTTTTGTACTAGATATTCTCAAGATAATGTGGATTTCCTGTCATATGTCTTGAACATCCGCTGTCAAAATACCAAACACTTTGTTCTTGGCTTGTTTCTGAGGTATACGCAACAACTTGTGTTTGTTCCTTTCTTACCCATACTTTCTTGCTGTTATTTTTCCTTTGTACTGCCCAATCTATGTTGTTTTGTCTGTAATAGAGATCATTTTGTCTTTTGAAGCAGTACGCCTTTATGTGTCCCAATTTGTGGCAGTAATAACATCTGATTCTCCTTCGGTGTTGAAAGTGATGTTGTGACACCTCAGGATTTTCAGAAGAGTGGCTGTCACTGGATGCTGGATTTGGAGATCTAGGCCTTCCATCTAGTGCCTTGATTTCTTGTAACAGTTTGGCCTCTCTGTTTTTAGATTCTAATAATTCATTTTGAGTTTCTTTGAGACGTTTTTCTTCTCTCTCTTTTTCACCTTTTAGAAACTGATTTTCTTGCATGAGCTCTAGATTCACTTTGATGATTTGTTCCCATTTAGCATACAATTGGGCATATGACTCTAGCAGTTCTGGCATACCATTTTCGTTTCCGTTGTCATTCTCATGATTTGCGGTGAATGCTACGAAATTAGTGTTGGTGTCTTCTTCACTATCTGAGTCATCGCTTAGTGTTGCCACATATGTTTTGTTCTTCCTTTTAAAATATGTTGGACATTCTGACTGGATGTGTCCAAACCCTTTGCACTCGTAGCACTGAATTCCTTCAGGTTTTAGACTCTCCCTTCCTTTTGAAATAGATTGATTTTGTCCAGTTGGGAAGTTCCCTTGATTGATTGAAGCACTTTTGCTTCTAAATTTGTTGAATTTTTTGAGAACTCTATTGAAATTCTTTGTTAGGAGAGCAATTGATTGTTCCATGGTTTCAGTATCAATTTTCTGGACTCTCTTTCTGCTTTGATTGGAGCGTAATTCCTTTGTCATTATTTTTCCCTTTTTGCAATATCTCAAGCTCATATGTTTGAAGATTTCCCATTAGATCACTGAGTTTGTAGGTGTTTAGATCTTTGTTTTCTTGGATGGCTGTAACCTTTATCATAAATCTCTCAGGTAGGGAACGTAAGACCTTTTTGACGAGCCTAGGTTCAGGAATAGGTTCGCCTAGGTTAATCGCATCTCCAGCAATCCCTAAAACTCTTGCACTAAACTGTGAGATATCCTCATCTTCTTCCATTTTTAAATTCTCAAACTGTGTTTGTATCATTTGCAGCTTGGATTGCTTAACAGAAGTATTTCCTTCGTGATGATCACATAGTATATCCCATGCAACTTTAGCTATGCCAGTGGTAGCGATTAGTTTGAAAGTATCTTCACTTACCGCTCCATAGATGGCATTCATTGCTTTTGAATTGTAATTATATTCACTTCGCTCTTCTTCGTTCCATTCTGTTTTAGGTTTTTGATTACCTTTATCATCAACTGGATTCTTTCATTCTTTCTCAACGGCATCCCAAACTCCTTCTCCTTGTGCCAAAATATAGATTTTCATTCTAGCTTTCCAGTAGGAGAAATTTGTACCAAAGAGAGCAGGGGGCCTGGTGCTTGACAGTCCTTCTCTGGGAAACTCCATTAGGATCCTGCTAATAACTTAAGCAGTTTGGCTCTGATACCAATTGAAAAATTTGTAAAGCACAGCATCGAAACTGAAGTTGTAACACAAACAATTTGTAACGCAGTTCGGGCAAACAACCCTAATCTGCGAGGCACTTCTCAATTTGAGAACTTGCCTAAATCCACTAAAAGCTCAATATTTAAAGTACACTGTTTGGAACATGAGATTACACAATAGAATGATCTTTCCTACCAAACTATTGAAACCTAAACACATGTACTACTCTCTAGGGGAATTTAGTATCCTATTCTCAAAGACTCTCGTACCTCACAAGATTAATGTTGAATGCTTGAGATCTACAATAAAGGACATCCCCTATTTATAGTAGCTATTCCTAACAGATTCGTGAATAACAAACTATTCATAATCAAAATAGAACTATAAAATCTTCAACAACAAATCCCCTTAGAACTAGTATTCTTCAATAACTATTCTTCTTAGTACTGATATTCCTTTATAGAACTGGAATTATTTTTGCAAATAACTTTGACAAAATACTTTGACTCAACAGATACTTTTACCAATTGTCACTACATTTTTATTTCTTTATGAAGAAAAAAAAACAGTGCAAATTAGTTTCATATTTAACAAATTAATAAATAAATAGATTTTAACTCATTTAATAGCTTTCTAATGAAAATGAAAACTTGAAATTTTTTTAGATGTGTAGTGTGTGTGCGTGTGTGTAAATATATATATATATATATATATATATATATATATATATATATATATATATATATATATATATATATATATATATATATAGAGAGAGAGAGAGAGAGAGAGAGAGAGAGAGAGAGAGATAGAGAGAGAGAATTGTATCGAAATAGCTCAAAAGCTATTTGAAGTTTGGTAGTTTTTTTTTAATCTCTTTATCACTTTTAATGGCAAAGAAGTTTGTAAATGCGGGTGTATTATGTACCAAAAATTTAGAAAAAATAGATATTGTATTCAATAAAACATGTTTCGAAATGAATTTGTCAATGTTTTCACAATTTCAATTTCTTTACAAAGAAAAAAAAAATTCGTGGTTCAAATTTAAAAAAAAAATATTCAACTCTTATAGCTAGTAAAGTGGATGAGACTAGAGATTACCTTCTCAATTTAAGGAGTTTCGATGGCGATTGAAGAGATCGGGTTGATAGATGTATAGAAACCTTTTTTTCCAATTGAGAGACGAGAGTTAAAAGAGATTGAGAGCGACATAAAAGATTAAAGTGATAGGAGACTTGAGAGAGAGGGGATTTTCGTGCTTAGAAAGAGAGAGAGGATTTCGGTGCTTAGAGAGAGAGAGAGAGAGAGAGAGAGAGAGAGAGTGAGTGAGTGAGGAGGATAGAGGGGGAAAATGGTAAAGAATATATAAAGGGTTAGGGTTAGACATTTGGACGGGAGGAAATTGGGTTCGCCAACGAAAACAAATTCCATTTAGAGAATTGGGCCGATTTGTTTTCCATTTAGAAAATGTAATGAGTATAAATAATGGAAATATATTTAAATGGAAACGGAGGATTAACAAAGAGGGTTGTAGTGCTTATAGAGAGAGAGGGGAGGGTAGATGAGGGAAACGGTAACGGGCAAATAAAGGGATAGGATTAGACAATTGTAGTTGGAGAAATTAAATTGGGTGGGCCAACGAAAAAAATTTCATTCATAGAATTTGGTCTATTTGCTTTTAATGTAGAAATGGTAAAAAAAAATGTAGAAATGGAAAAAAAAAATTCTATACAAATTAGCCCTTAAAGTATATTTTGTTTACAAAATTGAGTTTGAAGGAAAAAGAATAATATTCAATAGGGAATCGAAAAGTAAGATATAGAATATAAATTATATTCCATTTTTGGCTCTTGAAATGTATATATTTTAGAAATTGTATTCAGGTTTTGCTGTTTTGGTTTGTTTTAGAATGAGAAATTACGTAAGCATTCAAATTATTGAAATACTCTATATAATAACAAATATTTATTATTAGGGCGGGATAGCATATTCTTAAGAATAGTACGTATTTTCATGAATATATAAACTTAAAAAATTATAGATCAGAATAAGCGTACTCATAGGAATTCTACACCATTCTAAACATATTCCATGAATCAAACGTGTTATTAGTCTTTTAGATTAATATGTGTTTTATTCTTCTTTGTTGAATCTTTAATTAGCAATTAGGCATTCTATTACTTTTGATACTATACATCACTAGTAATTTTTAAGCCCAGGCAAACCATAGAATTAGGAAATATAGCATGTAGGAATGATGAGAATTGGACATGGGGTGTTAGACTTAGATGATAGGTAGCTAGTACCATTTCAGCCTCTATCAATTTGTATTTGTGTAGCAATTCTTAGTGGAGCTTCATTGGAGTTAAGGAGAAGTGTGGAGTAAGAATGTTTCCAAATCACTATAAAAATATTATTTTCTTATCATCTGCAAACTAACCCCATACTTTGACACACACTCTAAACTTGACTAAAACTTTAAATCGCCTCACACCCACTAGTCCAACTAAGAGGCGCTGGACAGCTACCGCACATGCCATGGCTTGGGGAACCTGGCGGTCCCTCTCGCCAGTCCAATGACGACTACTGGTGGCCGGTCATAACCCTTTAGTGGTGGTCATGATCCATATCTATGGGCTTTCTTACCCACTTCTTCCAAACCCAATATAACAATGACTCCCCACTTGTGGGTTTGCCTACCTTCTTCCTTCCAAACCCATCATCACCTGCTCCTCATAGTGGGCCTTCCAACCCACTCCTTCCAAGCCCAATATCACCTCACCTCCTAGTGGATTTACCTATCCCCTCATTCCAAGCTTAACATCCTTATCCTCTTGTTTTGGGCCTTCCTTCATCCCTTCTAATCCAATAGTCTTAAGGCCGAAGGTCCCAAGCGAGGATGGAGCCAGAAATTCGGTTGAGGGGGGGCGAAGCAGTAGGGTTGGATTCAGAAATTTTTTCCAGTACAAGCGATACATGAAAACAAAAAAGATAATTTAAAAAAAAAAATTACCTAAGAAATATAGTTGTAAATATTGTTGGATATGGGCGAAAAATAAAACACATCGAAAGTTCATAAAAATATTCATAACAAAATATGAAACATAATTAATTTGATAAAATAATTTGAATGAAAAACACATTATAATTTACATATCTCAATATTAATATAAAACATTTGTGTGTGTGTGTGTGTATGTGTGTGTGTGTGTGTTATAAATATTAAAAAAACTATTAAAAATGTGACTGTGTTGAATCCTACGGAAAGGAGTCAAAAAAACTCTAAAACTACGTTAATGTCAAAGGATTCAAACCCTTAATCTTTACGTACAATTATCAAACATGTGCTCTACTAGCTAAACTAACTCATTTCTTGTTAATATTTAATAGTTTTTTATATTAATACTAAAACCTGTACTATATATACATATATACACTACTACAGAAAACAACTTTAACGTCATTATTTTAACGTCGGATTTTAGAACATCCGATGTTAAATATTTAAAATTATTTTTTATTTTCTTTAAAATACATATGACGTCGGTTAAAGTAAATAACCGACGTCATATATTATCGTAATTAAAAAAACAATAGGTACGACGTCGGCTAATTTAAAATAGCCGACGTCGTAACTTATTTAAATAAAAAAATTGAAATTAA